CAGCAATTATAGTGACTTGCACATGGATAGTTATTTTAAACCCTAGTCCATATGTGGATAGGTATTTGGAAGGGTGTGAGTCACCTAGCAAAACTTACGTACTGTGGCCAATGTGAGATTATATGTGCACTATCTATGCAATGGAGTGATCCTCTTTGCCTCTCATTGATAGTGATATAACGGGTATCCGGGTGATGGTAACTTAAATAAGTTTTAAAAGACTAAATAATGTGAAACTATAAGTCCGAGTAGAGTGATATGTGTAGGTGAGGAATCCAAATAAAAAATGAGTGGAGAGATTTGTATGTGCGAACAAATCTATCTGTTTTGTTTTGAGAAATATGTGAATCCATGTGTATATGCATGCAGATTTTGTATATGTAAGACTTATGAAAGAGAAAAGAGTGAATATCAAAAGAATGGAATTAATAATATGCTTTAACAAAGAGAATTGAGAATATTAAGCGTGAAGTGAAAGAATTCTAGCGTAATTTGAAATAAAAACAAGAGTTAGATCAGAAGATAGATGGTTAGAATATATTTCGTGTGTTGATTTATTTTGTTGTATATTTTGATTATGATGTCTTGTCTGATATTTTCTCAATTATAATATTTTTATATTTTATATATTGCGTGAATGCATATACGTAAATCTCTGTTATAGAATTATTTTTTTATTGAGCTCGTGAAACTCACCCCCCCATCCAGGTCAGTGAGAAACAAGTTCAAGATCAATTAAAGATGGTAAAAAAAAACCTTATTAATTTCTATTTAAGATTTATAAATTAATTTAGATGTCTCAACTATTTGTAAATAAATAATTATTCTGTCACAAGATATATGTATTAAAGTATAATTTTGCTGCATATTTAATATTTATAAGTTTCATTAGTTGAAAATATTATGTAAACGTCTGTACGATATTGGGGTACTGTTACAAATTAAACTCGAATTAAAAATAAAAATAAATAAATAAATAAATAATGAAAGGTTATACTGTTGATGAGTCTACCTTTTTTCTTATTACTTTCAGATAACATAAGAAAAAAAATATGTTACCTTTCTCCTACCCTCTCTCTTTTAGCCTCTACTTTAAATATTCCTTTTTAGTTTTTTCCTCCCCCTAAAAAATTTGAGCTCTTTTTTTTCACAGATGAAAGAAAAACTATTATCAGACCACAAAATTTACCTCATTTTTTAATGTTTGTAGGGATTCATAAATCCTAAATCCTCAATTTCTTTCTCCTTTTTTCGCTCCCATGATCCCTCCTCCCTCTTTATTCATTTTCTTTAGTCGCAATACCCAATTTTCTATTTTTTCATTTAATTATACAATATTGTTTTGACAACTTCACTAAACGTCATATACTTGCCTTTAGGTTGAACAATGTTGTTTTGGACATTGGGTCACATGAATTTTGGTTCCAATTTTCAGCCTATCTTTCGTGTTTAAATATACTCATGTTTATAAAATACTTATAAAATCTATGATGTTTCTATACTAATTTCTTATAATGTCAAATATCTCATAAAGAAATGACATATTATGTATCAATAGTTTTAGATTTAGTAGTGTTAATATCATATTGATTGTACAACAATATATTTTATAAATTAGAGAATATATTTTGTCATCATGATTATATTATAATTACATCATCATTATAAAGTTGTTAATATTTATTGATGAGTTTTAATTAACCATGTAGGCTTATGTAAAAATTATTGTGCATAAAAAATTATCAAATTAATCGAGTCTGTTTAAAATGATATGATAAGATTAAGTGTATTTTGGGCTTTAATGGATTAAATTAAGTATGAGTCTTTATGTGTACCGACCGAATCATTATTTTTAATTTTGTGATGGCTCAATTAAAAATAATTAAAGTTAATATAAGGTTAGTCTATATTATGGTTCACAAATTACACGAACGTTCATTTTATTTTGATATTCCATTGTTAGATATAAAGAGAGTGAGATAAAATTCTAAGGAACTACGTGCTGATTTAGAAGATTAACTGCATGACATTTTATTCTCTTCTATCATGATTGATTCAGGTACGCTTCCACTTCATATTATAGTCTTGATGATTTGATATAAATTTCTGAATTTATATATGATGTGTTTTCACAAAGATTAAATTTTGTAACATTAATCGTTTAAATGAATTTTAAACATTTATGTGAAAGTAATAAAATTATATGAGTAATTGTTGTCTTTCTTATTACTATTACTATTATTATTATTACTATTATTATTATTATTATTTAAATAAATAATTATAGAAATAATATAATTATAACACTAAGTGGCATGTAATTGGGTCTGTTGACCAGAAAATTACTTAGACTAAAAGCCCAATGTATAATGTCTTATTGAATTGATTAAATTGTCATTTTGCTCATGTGACTTTGAGACTGGATTGTCCCCTCAATTAATTATAGAACACAATGTTCAACTAATTTTATTCTCATTACACAATTAACCAATTTCAAATGTCATTGACATACTTAAAACATTATATATCCATGTTTAATTACATAAAAAAAAAAAATACATGATTGACCATTTGAATTGTTAATCAAGAAGTAAAATAGTTTTAGTTTTTAACTTAAAAGATTTATCCTCAACAAACTTCTTGTTTTTCACAATTAGTTAAGAGTTTAATAAAAGATAAGTTAGGAGGTATTTTATAGCATCTGTGTGATGAAATATTTTAATTTTGAAGAATTCACCACTCCATCAATTAAGAGAGGCCCAATCCTACACTTCTCCTCATAAGAAAATGGTAAACAATTCTTTTATATTCGTATTTAGAAAATATAGAATAAACATCAAGAATGTGTCTGGAACAAATTAAATTTAATTTCAAATAAAATTATTCATGATATGGCACAAATCTCTCTATTGTCAATATGTTTTCTCAAGAGAACAGACGGATGAGTTTAAATTTAATGGGCCAAAACCCATTTCTAGGATCACTCCACGTCGCTGTTTCTGCTGATTCGTATTTACAAAGAGGAAATGATGATATGCCACGTGGAAGACATCGCGAAACCCCAGGTACAATCTAACGGCAGTCAAAAGGAATTCCGAAATATCGCACTTGACTTTTGCTACGAGCACTGGTGAAATAATTTATTTATTTACTTATTTTTTAAAAAAACGTTTAAACCTCATCATTGTCCAGCACATCAATCATTTTCGCTCCATCTTGTCTTCTCTTCACACAGATCGCCATTGGGGAAACTTGAGATCTCAAGGAGAAAATGGGGAGGATGGAATATTTGGCTATGAAGACTGATCAGGCCACTGCTGATCTCATCACTTCTGACTTTAACGAGCTCAAGATCGCAGCAAAGAAGCTCATGAATGATGCTACGAGGCTCGGGGGACTCGGCTTCGGCACTTCTTTTCTTAAATGGGTCGCCTCATTCGCTGCCATGTGAGTCTTCTCGAGTTTTTAAGTTTTAATCCTGTCGGGGTGGATCTCTTCTTTTTTCATCTTTTTCTCTTGCATCCTTGCTTAAATTTGAACTTCTGGGTGGTATCTTTGTCGTTAAGGATTTGATTCGAGGAATAATCTGAAGTCTCTGATTGATTTTCATGCTGGTTGAATGTGACATATAATTAGATTTGGTATCTTTTGATGTGAGGCATAAAAAGTTGAAGCGGTGGAAAATTCACAAATACGTGCTGATGGTTTACCTTTTCTTAAATTTTTATTATGTTATTGTTTTTTCCTTTCTTATCTCATTGGATATGAAATATATAATTAATTCTAATGGTAGATGCTTTTCTTGTTACATACATAATTCATTCCTCTATGTTAATTGGACTTAGTTGAATTATGTTGTTAATCTTGGGGCGAATCGGAATCCACTTGCATTGTATATTTATTTCCCATTGGGTTGCTTGAATCTAGATGAAAGTCAACCTGATTCTTATATTAGAAACATAACACGTTGAACTGGAGTGCACTTTTCCAGAAGAAACCAACGATATACAGTTGTTATTTGGTTGAGAAGCTGATCATGGGATCCTCTGAATAATTTCACTCATTAAGAACGCTTTAGATTTTATTCTACCAGTAGGCATATTTGGAACCTGAAAGAAGTTTTGATAAGCAATCTGATTTGAAGACAGAACATTGAGTCATCTGATTCTAAGCTTAATTTAAAGCTTGTACATGGTTACTCTTCTTGCAGGCAAATCTCCGGTTCTCCTGCCAAAATTGTTACCTCTAGTTTGATGTTAAAGAAAAAGAAAAGCTAGATTAGCAATAGATTTGAAATGAAGGCGTTCCCTATTGTAGACAGCAAGGAAAGTTTTACTGAAATTTTAAAATATTTAGACGCTTGTGATTCCATGATGAAGAAAATCCTGTTATGATTCCACCTCTTTTTTGGACACCAAGAAGGTGGACACAAAAGGGAACGAAGAACATTATTATCATCCATACTTTCTAAGTTTAGCTGGCCATGTTGGATTCATGTATGAGATACGTTTAAATGTCTGCTCTTTACATGTGGCTACATGTAAGTTGTTGCATCGTACTGGTTACTCACATTTCATTAATTTAAAGACAATTTAGTGTTTGTTTTGCTCTTGACAGTGTATCATATGTTTGCTTCCCCTGCTTCTTCAATCTCTACTTTATTCATTTACTTAGCTACAATGCAGTTATTTGCTGATATTGGATCGAACAAACTGGAGAACCAATATGCTGACATCACTTCTAATACCTTACATTTTCTTGAGTCTTCCTTCAGTGCTATTTCACTTTCTAAGGTATATGTATAGTTTCTATAAATTATTTTTATATTTTTTTTGAAAAATATTATTTTAATCCATGACTATGGCTATTGTTATATTTGGGTCCCAATTTTTCTGTTCTATAATTTGGTTACTGAAATTACAAAATTATTTTAAGGCCTTCTTTCTTAATGACGCATTTTTAGCAGAAGCATTAAGAATTTTCCTTTTCTTGTTTGGATGACAGAAAAAGGAACTTGATAATATAAACTTTCCATTAAATGTCAATAGGACTCAAAGTTGATAAAAAAAAAAATCCGAAAGATGTTTTTGCAAGCATTTCTTTTGTTCAACAATTCTGTTTTTAAAGGAACATTGAGATTACTAGGTAATTTATCCACAGTTGCTATAATTTCTGAATTACATAAAAAATAAAAGTCAATATAAGGGCAACACAGTAAAAACTTTTATTGTTTTTGTCAAAATTTTTAGAATTGAAAAAAGAAAATCACATTTTTAAACAGCTTTATAAGTAAGATGACCAAATTGTAATTAAAAAAATGCTGACCAATTGTAACATAATTCATAGTTAAGTGACTAAAATTGTAATTGCTCCTTTTTTCGGCACTTTTACCATTCTGTTAGCTGAACTTAAAATTTCTGCATGCATTTACATCAATCTCATTTAGAGGAGAGGTCGGGAAATGGATTGCTTTCATTGCTGTGGTTCTCAGGCTCTTCTTGCCACGACACTTTCCGGGTATGTAGTTAATTGCCTAATGTTTTATCTTTTTTTTTCTCATTTACCAAAGACATTCTTGACTTCACTTGTCCCTGATCTTCAATTTTCTCCAATTCAGTGTGATGGGTTCAGTGTTAGCGTTCTTGTGATCTGCCTTTTATGTGATGGCATGTCAAGTTGCTAATATTCCTTTTAGCTGTTGGCTTACGTTTCTCATGATTTTCCTAAATAATATCATTTACTGATATTATATTTACTTACACTTTCTTCTCTGTTTATGTGGTGGGTGTTCTAAATCTAGTACTCAAAGTATAACTGGTGCAATTAAGCACAAGATATGATACATCTTCTTGTACTTTGCTGAATACTACATCGCAGCACTTTGATGTTCTTGATCTTCTAATCTTTCCTTTTATTAATATTGCAGATTGGCTGGAAATGCCGGGCTCATTGATTCTTCTACTGGTTGTTGCACCAAACTTCTTTGCACACACCTTGAAAGACAGCTGGATTGGTGTTGTAATTTGCCTTATTATTGGTTGCTATCTACTGCAAGAACACATCCGAGCATCTGGTGGATTCAGAAATTCCTTTACGCAAACCCATGGTATCTCAAACACCCTTGGCATCATCCTCCTGTTGGTCTATCCTGTGTGGTCATTGGTACTCCACATCTTTTAGGCATTGAAATAATGAGCAGGAGGGAGTCGTTTTCGACAAGTGAAGATAATTTTCTCCAGTATTTTACATTTCTGTGGAAGATTTCTAGTTGTTTATGACTTTATTCAATGGTAATTGCGTTTCCATTTGTTTTAATCTTTTTCGGTGTAACAAATTCCTCTAATAATTTGTGGCAAACAGAAGAAGATCGAACTTTGGGTAAACATCATTGTAAAGTTAATGCATATTGTCATCAATCTGTACTACCCATTTGAGTAGACAAAGAAAAGAAGTCTGTTGCATCTTGAATTTGAGCATTCACGTAGTGGAAATATCGATAAGAACATATATTGGATTGGTACATATGTTGGACTGAAACAGCTAAATTAAACCAGAACTGGGTCTCATGTTATAATATTTACTCAATTTTATTTTACAATTTTTTTTTTAAATTTGGGTATTTTAAATATTTTTTGTTGATTCATGTGAATTGGATCAAAAAACAATTCTTAAATAAAGTATTTAAGTTTAGGAATGAATTGAAAAAGAAACCTTTATTGGTTCTACCTCTATGTTTATGAAGAAAATGAATTTTTTTATCAAATGATCAGAAAAAAATGGGTTCGAATCTCCTACGGGAATAATTTGGAAGATCCAAAACAAAAAAGAGTGGTATTTACTAACAACAACATAATGGAGGCAGTCAATCAATATAAATTAATACAAAATCTAATTCAAATCCAATATAGTACCTATGGGTACATAAGAAATGTACTGAATCATTGGTTATTAGAGGCATCCTGAAAGCGTTCGAATCGAAATATGAATTTCAAATTAAGTTCTGAATTAGTGGGTGCTGCCAAAGGGAGTGGCGATGTCATACACAAAAAGGAAGAGACTCATAGAATGGCAGAGGCAAATAGAGCTTTTGCACATTTTCGTTAATCTATGAACAAGATCTATATAGACACATAGATCTATGGATCCATACATCTTGATCGCTGCACCAAGGAAAAAATAGAAGAAGCATCTGACTCCTTCATGAATGCTCCACTTGGCTCGGGGGATAAAGCTCAGTTGGTAAAGCTTCACTCTTGCAATTGGCTAGTTGCGATTATGGGTTGGGTGTTTAATTGTCTAGGCAGTAATGGTAGTATCTTGTACTTGAACCAATGACTCACTTTTACTTGATTTTGAGCATTCGTATCGCACTTGCACATGTCGCTTGCACGTTGCAGCATGTCCCATCGCTGCTAGTGCAAATTGCTTGTGCGCCTGCGCATTGTCACATCGTGCACTCATGCCTATCGTGTGCATGATGCACATCTGTCCCGCCTGTGGCAGCCACCCGCACGCTGCCTGTGGCACGTCGCGCCACTGTCCCATCATGTTATAGCTGTCGATAGCCGTTTACGCCCATCGCCAGTTGCCACGTGGCACACATGCATGCTGCCATGTGACGCACATGCAATCTTTTCCCTTTGGCTATTTAAAGCCTTTCCTCTCCACTTCTCCCGCCCATTTTTCCATATTTTCTTCTTTTCCATTTGACCAAGAGAGGTTAGAGAGGGAAAGTAAAGAGAGAAAGCTAGAGAGAAAAAGGGATGAAACCAAAAGGAGAATCAACAAAACTTTTTCATATGCACTGTAAGCCTTCTTTTATCGATTTCATTTCTTCACTAAAATTTTTAAGGACTTGTTCTTAGATTTTCTTTTCCTTAAACTTTCAGAAATATCTTCTAAAATCTACAGTTGCTGAATGACCTTTTTATCTCCTTTAAAATACGTAAACAACCTTATTTTGGGAAAACTAAAAGCTTGAATTTTGGTCAGGGATCTTGGTATTTCTATGTACTCTTCTAAATGTGTTTTCTAAATAATGAGAACATTTAAGGATGACAAAATATATGAATTCTTGGTTATTATTCTTGCATGAATTGGTAGTGTATGCTAAGGATTGTAAGTCATATGATTTTAAAGTGGTTATTTTCGTATAATGTATAGACATGATTCGCGTATTGAGATTATTTTATATGATATGCTATGTGTGCAGGTCAGACCCTCAACCTCGCTTTAGGAGGATGGTTGAGAGGGTTACTCGTTTAGGACTTAACCCAAAGGGTAACTTAATGTCTAATCCGGCTAAATGGGCCTTCATTTGGCCAGGATTGGATTGTGGAACCCCATCGGCTCTGGACATAAAAATAAATGATGATTTGAACTGATAAGGAAAGTGAAAAATTGAAAATTCGTTTAATTATTATCATTGAGGGGTTACCTAATTGACTACTATTGATTGTTAGTGAATCACTCATTATGAAAGGTATTAGTGTCCCTTTGACGAGAATGGAGTCGCGACTGATTATAGGGGCCATAGTAGTAAAGTACAACCATGATCATTAGTCTTCAACTGTTATTGTAGGGGCCATAGCGGTGAAATATGACTGTGGTCATTAGTTTCTAATCGTTATACTGTACATCGAACTAAATTGTTTTCCATTCATAGTAGTAGCTAGGGATCCTTTTTGCACTTTGTTGGTATAAGTTAAAACGGCTTCGAGTGAAGATCTGTAAAAACCATAAATAAATTAAACTGTTTGATGGTATAGCTAGAACTCTTGATTGATTTCTATGCTCTGATAGTTTTCTTGGATTGAATATCACTGTTTCGTTATGATATTGCCATGCTTTTTAGTTGGTTTAAGTGGTTTCCATTATGTTACTCACTATTCTGCCATGTCATGCCATGTTTAGTTTGTTTAACTACTTGCTATTATATTGCTCCGTTATATCATTGACTCTTTATATTGCACTACTCCGTCTTTACTTCTTATAATTGTGACTTAAAACCAGATGTTTTTGATTTAATTTAAAATAAAAGTAAATATTTTCTCAATATTTCGAATGAATATGTTCTGTGACAAGTCGAAGAGGTAATCACTTGTTTATAAGATAATGACATGTTTTGAAAATAAATAAAATTTACAACTTTATTAGTGTAATTTGAATACTATTTTCCTTACTGAATTTTATGGAACTCACTCCAATCCATTTCACCTTAAACCATCAATGATAGTGTGGAATCGCTTCCTGAGCTGTCCCTTGAAGCTTGCTTGGATACATTCATGGATGTGTAGTGGACTTTTGAGTGGATTAGATAATTCTACTATGATGAAGTACTCCTTTTGTAATGAAAGAAGTGACTTGAACAATGTTGTTTATATTTTTCTCAACCATCTCCTGGGCTCAGGTATATTTAAATATCAAAATTTTTATAAGGGATAATTTTCTTCCACTGCATAATTTATTTTGCACTTATATTTGTTATGTTATAAGACTCCTTTACCTACTAGATAATGAGATGTCACAGTTTGGTATCATAGCAAGATTTCTTGGACATCCCTTACACTGAGGTTTAGTATTTAAGTTTAGAAAACTAGAAAAAATCTTTGTACCCTAGCGAATAACTTTGTTTCTAAACCTTTATCTCCCTTTTGTAGACAAGTATGACTCGGGAGAGACCTTCCATAGAAAGACCTGATACCCAGAATACTCTAACTCGAGCAGAGTTCACTGAGTTATTTCAGGTAATTCAAGGTTTGACCGTTGCTGTGGGCTAGAACTTTACCTATAATGCCTGTCAGCTGCCTCCTACGAATGACCATTGTCCTAATGATATGCTATTTCCCACAATATCTTGGAGTTTAGAAGACTTAACCCTTATTTTGATGGTGGACTTGACCCCCTGGTCATTGAAGCATGGATCATGTAGATGGAAAAGATTTTTTCCATTTTCGAGCTCACTAAAGAGCAAAAGGTTCCTCTTGTTGCTTTTATGTTTACGGGAGAAGCTGAACATTGCTGGTATCTTAAGAAGGATACCCTATCCACACCGACCACTTGGGACCAATTATTGATGCCTTTCTCAAGAGTTTATTTCCAATCTATGTTAGAGAGAAGAAATAAGAAGAATTTTAGGACTTACGCTAGGAAAGTATGACGGTCAGCTGGTATGCTTCCAAATTCATTCAATTGTCCATATTCACCCTGGAGATCATTGCCATAGAGAACAAGAAAGCCTAGAGGTTTTTTAAGGGATTGAGAGCCGATATTTTCGATCGAGTGGCCATGATGAGGCCAAACACCTACGCTGAAGCCCTTGAGTATGCCCAGTTGGCCCACAAACTTCTTGCTGCTCGTTAATGGCACATCCATAATGTCCAACTCCAACATCAACATAAGAGGAAGTAGAACGACCCCTACTGTAGTTGTTGCCCAACCTCCACCTCCTGGTAATCCATACGCTCAGACATGATAACACTGCAATAGAGATCATGGTAACCAACCATGCTACAAATTGAATAATGCCTGCTATAAGTGCAGGAGTACTCAACATTTCGTGAAAGACTGTCTCTAAAAACCTAGGGACACTATAGATCTATTGCTAGAGGGAGAGTCTTCCGCCTCGACGAGTCTGGTGCCATGGTGATGCTGACTATTATTTAGGGTACGCTTCTATTTATAAATCTATTGCTTGTGCTTTGATTGATACTGGTGCCACCCTCACTTTTATATCTTTTAAATTTGCTAGGAATTTGATAGTTGAGCCTGAACTCTTAGGATAAAAATTAATTGTAGAAACACCATATAAAGGACTTTTAGAAGCCCATGTAGTATATAAAGCTTGTAAAGTGAAGGTTTTAGGAAGAGAATTCATTATAGATCTTATACCCCTAGATTTTTTTTTTTTTAATTTTGACATCATTTTGGGCAAGAATTGGCTAGAGGCCTATCGTTCATTAATCGATTGTGGTGAAAAAACTGTAACCCTCCGTTCCCCTAAAAAGGAACAACCTTAGAACCAAGGTAAAAAGGAAATTTTATTTGTTTAAAAATTTATTTTTGTAAATGAAAATACATATTTTAAATTTACTATGTTTAACATTTTATATGAAATACATGACAAAGATTTTTAAGATATAAATTGCCTATTTTTTTAACATCTTTGATGCTTAAGCATATGGATCCTGAAAACTCAATATAGATAATCCCTATCATTAGTGACTTCCCGGATGTTTTTTTCGAGGAGCTTTCAGGCCTGCCACTCAAGTAGGAGATCAAGTTCTCCATCGATCTAGTTCTAAAGATATAATCCATTTTCAAGGCCACTTATCGGATGGGCCGAGCGAAACTTTGAGAGTTAGGAAGTCCGATTGTAGCACGAAGAGAAAATAGATTTATCAAACTAAGTCATTCTCTGTAGGATGCTCTAGTCTTATTTGTCAAGAAAAAGGATGGAACTCTCAGGTTGTGTCTTTATTATAAGGAGCTC